TCTGTTGAGACATCGATAGGTGCACGTGGGCCTAATTTCTTAGGAGGTTCTACCACAAGAGCAAGTGGTCCAGTTTTGACAGAGTCCAGGCCTCGTCGTGTCAGTTTAGTGCCCTGGAGCGAAACTAAAAAGATGGGCCCTAATATAGACCTTTTACACTGGTTGTGAATGCTTCCCAACGTCTCCCGACGCCTCCGCAAAATAGTCATTTTTGTTAAATTTATTCGTCCAAGGGCAATATGGTCATTGTGCACAGCCCTCTCACTCCCCACCCCAACGCGCCCCCACCCCCACGACGAACTCACCGGTCTCCCAATCGCACACACCTCGCTCTAGCCGCCGCCGCTGCCCTCGCATGGCGTCGCGCCGGCGGCTTTGCCCTCTCCCTCACTCATCGCGGCGGCCGTCCTACTCTCACCCAAGTCAATGGTAGCACCCCAAGCGATGGTGGCCCTAAGGCACTAGCGCCGCACCCAGGCAGCGACGCGGCACCCAGCCAACGGCATGCCCCCAGGCAGCAGTGGATCCGGCTGCTCTCCTCGTCTCCAACTCGTTCAACACGGCGCCAGGGACTCCAAGGCGACGAGCTCCTCCATCTCTGGCACGGCAGACGTGGTCGCGTCACCAAGCTTTAGATTAGCAATCAAGGTGTATGCCCTGTAATCCTATCAACTCTCTCTGAATGATACTAATTACATTGATTCTGAATGATACTAAGTACATCGACCATTATAGATAAAAAAAATTGTAGCCTGTGATACGGTAGGTGTGAGTTAAAATATGTTAGCAAGGTTGCCAGAGTTGAGAAAGAGTACAAAAGTTTCATTCTAGGATCTGGAGCTACACAGATTTGCTTCAAAATCATTCAAATTATTGTCTTGGCCGCGAAGGCATGCCTTCCCCCTGTCTCCGTAGGACGACTAACAATGAACCTAGAGTTATGGATTATTGTGCTTTCAGGTTAAGCATCATGAGGGGCGCTTTCAAAACCTGCGAAGGCACCACAAGCGAAGGCCAGGAGTGTGTTTGCAAGGAGGGACACGTGCGGAGGTTGCGAAGATTGCTGGGGAAAGGCGGTGAAGACACCCGGGAGCGAGTGAAGATTGGCGTAGGCAGGGCCTCCGCCACCCGAAGACTAGAGCCCTAGAAGGGGCATGCACCGGATGCTTGCTGGGCCTCCAACGAGCTTGGAACTAGGCCCAGAGGGCAAGGCAGTTTGAAAAGAGAAGACCGAAGATACCCCAAGTAGCAAGGAAGAGCCCAAGGATATGCTTGGAATATGCTCTGCCTATTATAGGGTAAAGATGTAAAAGAACTATACTCTATACAGTGACTTATAAAAGGATGAGAAAACCCCATGTAAATCTATGAAATGTATTTATTTTTCACCCTCCCCAATCTTTTCCTCATCCATAATCCATACTCATTGTTTTGAGTTACACTAGTAATTTCTAATAAAAAGCTAGACCTTAAAATAAAAAAAAACTCACGTTCACACTTAAGAAAAACATGCGGTTACAGTAATCGGTTCAGGTTTTCGAAAAAAAGCAATCGGTTCAACTTATTATCATGTTGGCCTATTAGTGCACTCGTATGATACATGAGAGTGGCGGCTTAGTTCCTATCATGTTAGGGCCAGTGGTTCGTCACTCTGGCGAGACATGAGACCGATTGGTTCACTTCCTATCATGTTAGGCCTATTAGTACACTCAGAGTACATGTTAGGCCTATCAGTCCACTCAGACGAGCCGCGAGAGTGTAGGTTGAGTTGCTATCGTGCTAGGAGTACACGAGTCTACTCAGACGAGACATGAGAGTGATCAGTTGACTTTCTTATCGTGTTATTTGCTTATTAGTCCACTCGGACGATACGTGTGAGTGGCGGCTTAGTTCCTATCATGTTAGGGCTAGTGGTTCACTCTGACGAGACATGAGAGTGATCAATTCACTTCCTTTCACATTAGGCCTATGACTCCACTGAGACAAACATGAGAGTGTCAATTGAGTTAATATCGTGTTAGGACAACGGGTCCACTCAGTCAATACGTGGCACGCTTGGTGGGCGACATATATAGGAAAAAATAAGGGAAAATACATTTTTAAAATGATGCCGTCATTTAAAAAAGGATAATCAAACAATTTGGAAATATAAGTTGATACAATTAAAATTTTAAATAAGTGCCAAATGTCAGAAAATGGAAAATACTACAGGCCTAAATGGGCAACTTGAGCCGCGTACCATCACTGGGCCTCCCGTCTCCCCTCATGAGCTTACATGGGCCTAGCTCTGTTCATCGGTTCGTGAAAACCGGATACCGGCCCACACCAACCCGGGATGGAATCCGTCACCCGACATTTCAGACGTGTTGGGTTGGTTTGTGATCTAAATTCATTAAGATAGGACTTGAACATGTGTGGTTTTTCATTAAGAAGAGAAATAGACATCAAATTCAGTCCAAGATAGGACTTGAACCTAGGTGGTTGGATGCATTGCCACACATCTCATCCAACCAGTATAGCTAGGCTCACTTCTTAAAAAATAAGATCCAGCCTAGGATGAATTAGGTGGTTTTTCATTAAGAAAAAGAAAATAGACACATAAGGGGACTTAAATCTTAGTGGTAGGATGCATTAGCACACTTCTCACCCAACTGGTTGATCTAAGCTCCCTCTCAAACCGAGTAAAGAGCGATGGGTTAGTCGGTCTGCGGTCGCAACCCGAGAAACCCGCTGAAACCAGAAATGAACGTCGACGGTGGTTTGGCGTCCCTGGCGCATGTACGCGGCGTATCTTCTCGGCGCGCAGGCGTGCACATCGGCGATGCTGCCGAGCGATCTGTCCTCCGTTCTCGGGAGTGGGGACAGAGCAGCTTGTACACGGCGCCCAACGGCATGCATGGCGACGAGGCCCAAAGTTCGGCGCAGTGGCGGAGTTCTTTGTCGTCGCGGACGACGGTGCCTGGTCAAGCAGCGCAACGACTGCTTTCGCCGCCTCTCCGATCAGAATCAGTCGATGTCACCGGGATCATGCACGCACTGACCCAGCCCAATTACTTGCAAAGACCAACAACGGACCCGTGCAAACCGAACCAGCCCGGACCAAATCACGTGCACACGGGTTGGTTTCCAAACCCGGCCAAAACTGGCAAACCCAAACCATGAACAGGCCTACATGGACCCCTCGGCTGTCCCCCTGGGCGGTGGCCGGTGGGTGCTCCCTCCAGCTCGACGGCGTCTCGTGATCGTGGCCTTCCTTTGGAGAAGGCGGCTGGCCACCGTGACACGATTGCGCTCCACAATTATAGGATCCGTATATACAAAACTTCCTTCATCCTCCGCCTCCACATTCACGTCGCCAAATCCTCCTCCGACGCCTCCTCATTCATCTCCCCTCCTCGTCCTCCTCCGCCGCCGCCGTCCGAGATGACAAAGCCAGGAAAAGGTGCCGCGAAGCCGTCCTAGGCCGCGAAGAAGAAGCCATCTTCCTCGGCCGCGAAGAAGAAGGCCCTGCCGATCGAGGACCTCCAAAAGAAGGTGGCCGCTATGTCTGGGCAGATTGATGGCTGGGCAGATCTATGACCTCACAAAGAAGGTGGAAGCCAAGCCTTAGAAGCTTCACAACAAGTGATGTTGTGATGTTTTAGGGAGCAGTGATACCTATATCCTGTCTACATGTTAACTAAGTGAAGCCTGATGATTTATCTTTCTTTGTCTGATATAAACGTCAGCCCTATCTATCAGTGTACTGGAAATTGTTTTGCGGTCAGCTTTGTTATATTTCTTTGTCTGATATAAACGTCAGAGCTGCAAGTGTTCCTGGTCCGTGGACATTTACTATCAGATTACTAATTCTGAGCAATGTGTTTGTTTTGAATGGAAAATTGTGTTCCTCCGATCAGCATTTCCTAGGTTAACTAGGTCAAAATCGATAACCCTCGATGAGACAGGTGGTCAAAGCGTTGCTATGCATATTTGTAAAAACAATGGCCATTTTGGATTGGAGTATATTCTTTGCACACTGGTCCATCATGTGAATTGTAGTCTCAGGGAGTCAGGCTAAAATTCAATTCCATAGATAAACTAGAAAGTATGCAGAGTTTTGTCAAAAAATCGAAATTGTAATAACCTTAAGTGCATAACATTCCTTGATTGGGAGATAACAAATGAATAGATGGCATGCGATCAACTAATATACAATATCATCTTGGAACTCTAAAGTTCTTTATCATTGTCATCATCTCTCGAGTCGTGAAAACCATAGACGACTCTTCGCATCTTCTCATCTTCTCATCTTCTGCCTTCCCTGTTGCTGGTTTTTTGTCATCGTCATCACTTTCCAGACCCTGTAGAAGCGCAGTGCTGTCAGCACAAATCAAATAACAGCAGAGAAAACTAGCTGCCTCACTTCTAAACATGTAAAGCTTTTTAGCCAGGTATACCATAGCATGACAAAGAACTAGCAAGACAGGAATCACCTTTCCATCATATTCCTTTCTAGCAAGGACCTCTGGAGCAATGTAAGCTGGTGTCCCGACAGTTGATTTTGGTTGAGTGCAACAGAGGACTGAAAAAAAGAGTATGATTATAGTGTTCATTTATCGGCAAGCTGCTTACTGAAGTTTATAATCTGCAATACCTTGGAGGAACCAACATCACATATCTTTAGCCGAGGTGCTACACTACCATCCAGGAGGTGCAATACGTTAGTTGGAGAGAACTATATACCATTGAATGACAATAGCTAACTCCTGAAATCAGTTGTTGGAAGAAGAATCTTGCCTACAGAGAACAAATAACTGTCATTAGAAGTACATATCTTAGGTCATATTAAAGACTCCCATGTAGTAAAGCTGATCAACCTCATCCTCACTAAATCTTCCAGCATTGCAGATCCATTCAAATAGCTCACCACCAGCAGCATATTCCATACCTATGGCCAAATGTGTGGGAGTTAGCACAACCTGAAAAACTAAGTCTCTCTTTAAATTTGTAATTTGGAAATGGTAATAAATTTAAACTTTGAGACAAAAATGTAATAATGACAATTGGGCCCTGTCCTACTGTTTTCCGTAGTATGTAAGCTTCATGAGAGAACTATGTTGGCAGCATTATAAAGAGGTCTCCAATTAGTTGAGACTTGAGAGGACTGCTAGTTACTGCTAGAATCATAATTGACTCATACTTGCTGCAGCCAATTTCATTCCAAAGAAGCTAGTTGCAAGGAACACTGCTTAAAGGCATGCTGCTATGAAATGCTGAAGAAAAACACTGAGAGATTAAAAGAAGTTCAGGCTAGACTATGGGACTGAAGTTCCATCTAGTGATAATTCTCCTTCACTCTACCTAGTTGATTCCATCTAGTGATAATTCTCCTTCACTCTACCTAGTTGATTCCATCTAGTGATAATTCTCCTTCACTCTACCTAGTTGATATCTCTTTTTCGGACAGTAAGGGTGTGTTTGGTTTCCTGCCTTTCTTCTAGCCTGGTTAGGAAATAAGCCAAGCTAGCCTAAGCCTCCTCCTAGCAAATCAAGATGGACTTTTGGTTGCATACACTATCTAAGTATGGCTAGCAGCTAGTGTATTTGGTTGGCTGGTTTGCCTTGGATAGAGTCACCTCTTCTTTGCATAGGTAATTTTACCTCCTTTGAGGCAATGTGTCGAACACCTGGTGAACGCACGTCAGCCTGAGCGCGTCGCACACCCCAGCTTGTCAAGCTTGCCGCGGCCTGCTGCTGCTTCATGCTGCCGTCCTTATCCGCCATGGTGGTGGTGCCCGACGACGCCGGGCTGTTGGCCAGCGACGAGAGCCGCCTGAAGGATGCCAGCCGACGCGACAGCTCCGACTGCTGCGGACGGCACCACGCCAGCCCGTCGGGGGCCACCACCGCGTCCTCCGCCGTGCAGCGCTTGGTGGCCGACGCCAGCACCGGCCTCCACGGCTTCGGCATCGTAGTCGTACGTGTGTGAGCTAGCTAAACAGCTGTGCCGCCTGCCGCGCCGGAAGTAGCTAGCTTAGCTAGCTGCGTGTGCATGTGAGCAGAGCAGGTGGAGGGAATGAGTTCAGGTACTTCGGGGACGACAGGAGGCTCCAGGACGCGGTACACCGAGCGCCGCGGAGGTGATCCGGCAGCGTCGCAATGCCTTCGACTGCATCTGCAAGATCTCCGTCGTCTCGGCGCTGACCGCCTTCTTCTTGCACCTCTCCGATCACCCGGAGGACGACGAGGAGATCGGCGGGTTCATGTTCGACTTCCTGTTCGCGGCGCAGGACGCGTCCACCTCGTCCCTCTGCTGGGCGGTGTCGACGCTGGACTCCCACCCGGAGGTGCTGGCCCGCGTGCGCGCCGAGGTGTCGGCCGCCTGGTCCCCGGACTCCGGCAAGCCGATGACGGCGGAGACGATCCAGGGGATGCGGTACACCCAGGCGGCGGCCCTGGATGCGTCTCCTCCCCTGCTCCGTGTCCTCCCACACCGACGGCCCTGCATGCGTGAAGTCCGGCGGCCCTGGATTCGCGAAGGTCGCGGCAGGGGCATGCGGGGCCGCCGGGACGAGCAGCGCGGCGGCGAAAGAAAGGGAGCGGAGGAGCAGAGCGCGAGCGGAGGAGCAGCGCGGGGCGGTGACGACTGACGAGAATGCACAGGACGGCTTAGCCAAGCCTGGCCAGCAAAAAAACGGAAGTCCATCTAGGTTTTCCACAGCCATGGCTTAGTTGGGCTGACTTCGATCTATTTAAGGTGGGGGCGCGTTTGCGACCCTGTACCTGGCCGGCCTGGCCAGCCCAACTGACCCAGGCCTGGGCAGGCCTGTTTCAAGTGGTGCAACAGCTTTTATTTGCGCCTGTATACCTAGTGAGCTCGGCTCAGGCGAGACTATGTTTGTCATCGAAGAGGCAGCCGGGCTGAGAGGCTAATCGCCACCAACTGCCACACCGAGATAGTGTTTGTCATTTGACCGTGGTCGGCCAGGCCCATAATGTGGCAGAACCTCCTAAGAAATCGGACCCACGTGCACCTATCGATGTCTCAACAGACCTTAGATAGCGTACACAAGTTTCCAACAACTTAACAGGTCTGTCGGGTGTCCTCGGGAAACCCGAATCATCCACGAATCTTTTCCAAATAGGATCTCAATCACAGTCATTGCAGATTACAACAGTTTTCAATATACATACCAGAGATTATAAAGCGGAAGACTTAAGTTTTAATATTACAAACCAATTGTTTCAAACTTACAAAACCATAAGTGTCATACAACCATAGTAGCGGGATAATATTACATTAACATTATTTATTTCACATAAACTAGTGCCTTGTCCAAAGGCCATTCATCATTCCTCATCGTCATCGACTTCAAACACTAACATGCAGCAGGGACCAAAACAAGCATGCGCATGCGACTCACCTGCAACAAGGGTTAACAAACCCTGAGTACAAAAGTACTCAACAAGACTGACCCAACGAAAAAAGACGAAGGTCTTAGGGATGCAGGTGTTGGGTCAAGGTAAGGATATAGCAAAATTCAAAAGTTCTTTGCCAAAAGCTTACTATTCTTGATCCTAGTTTCAAGTTTTACCCCTAATTACTTTAGTTCAATATCTCAAACTAAGTGTTCATATCCCATGTTCCAATCCTTCTCATTCTATTTCTTTTCTCAAGTTTTAGTAATTCACCAGTCATGCATTGCTTCTGTAATGAATCGAGTCTCCATATCCGCGGAGCACCGACAATTCAAATTGATTTAAGTCCCAGCTGGGGATTCCTTATCACATGACATATGTAGAACTTAATCTTGCATATATCAACCTTGTAACACCCCGACTCAGGGCTTAATAGAATTAATAGGATACTCGTACAAACAAGTTGCAACTTTTTTTCTGGAAGCTCATCTCTTAAGAACTCCAAGGTTAAGCGTGCTTGGCCTGGAGCGATGGGTGACCGACCGGGAAGTTCTTCCTGGGGGCGTATGAGTGAGGACAAAGTGCGCAGAAAAGACTAGTATTGGTCTATGAGGGCAGTCTATGTTCTAGGAAAGCTATAAGATGTAAGCGGACCTGACCTCGAGGAGGCGGGACGTTACAAACTTCGCTACCGGATCTTCCCATACTAAGCCGCCTTCACGCCACCCGAGAGCACAGCACAACTCAAATCCGGCCACATTCAAGCCACAAGGGTACACGCTACTACCGCCATGTCACCACTCCCAATGCGTGGGCATTCGTCTTAGTATCGGATTAGCCGAAGTAGGCTTACCGGAGTATGTGACCAGTACTACAAAGTGTCTTGTTCAGAAGATCCACAATGAGTGGCCTTTAAGCGACATAGCCGGCAACATTACCCAACATTCAGGATAAGCCACCTGACTAGTCTCTAGTTCATTCTATCTTCTTTCTTTCTTTCTTTGGCCAGTATGCCATCTTTGATTGTATCAAAACTTTTACTTTGAAAGCCTACTATAAAGCATACTAAGCAATTCTACGCCTTTGTAAATGAAATCATCTTCGAGGATGGTAAACAATCAACAAGGTAGGCAATGCATCAAGTAGGTAACATTTGAATAAATCAACTTAATGCAATAAGTAACATAGGTGATAAACTTTTCAAAGTAAACAATGTAATGGTTTAATGCACAAACCGGGGCTTGCCTTCGTTGACGATCTCAGGTTCCGGATCAGTACCACAATTATCGAATCCCGTGACAACCAGGGATTCTTCCAGAACTTGCTCAACTAGAATCGTTTCACTCTCGGATTCTACACGAAATAATAACATATGCTTCAATATGATGATAATATAAATATGATGCTTTCATGGTACATGAAATGTAATCACACCTCGAATACAACTGTTTTTCACGGTACAGCTGCAAGCTAACAAAACCAACTTGCAATTCTACCGGCAAGAACCACACATGTGACTTGACCAAACTGATCTTGAAACCCTACTAGTCACAAAACATGACCAAAACAAGATCAAACACTAATCAAACACTTAGGGTTTGCTTTTATTTATTTTTGAAATAATTTGGAAATAAGCCCAAAAATAAACTTGTTCCAAATGACCTCAAAATTTTATGTAAGCTTCCTCATGACAAATTAGTGTACCAAAATAAATTTCATAATTTTTGGAGCTATACAGTGACCAACAAAAATTATGGAAATTGTATTTATCAATTAATTGACTGAATTTTTGAACATTAAAATTTATTCAAATTTCATATTTTTCCTAAATAGTATTCATCACAGAGAGATCACACAAAAATTTTCATAATTTTTGGAGCTCTAAACAAATCTACAAAAAATAACAAAAACATACACTATTCATCCATTTCTGAAAATAGAAAAATTCAATTTGAACTATACAGTCGCTGACATACGGGATCCACTTGTCATCCCTAAGCTCCGGCTTTGACCGCGATGACAACGGCGCTGACCGACGCGAACTCGCCACCGGTGAGCCCAACAGCGACGGCCATAGCACCAAAACGTTCACAACGACTAGACGCATCGATCTATGGCACTACGGAGGTTGATTACGACATGGAACAAGGCTGACACCGGCCATGGCGGACGCGGTGTCACGGCAGCGTTACGCCGGCGAAACAAGGCCAGTAGAGATCAAACAAAAGGCTTAGAAAGGATCAGCAGCTCACCCCGAACGTGTTGAAGCAAAGAATGAGACTAGAGGAGCTACGGTGACGCGGGTCGACGGTGACAGGGTCACGGCGGAGCAAACTTCGTCGGCGACGGAGTTTCGGTGACTGCAGTGAGCAAAACGACCAAGCAAGAACGAATTAAGCATCACAGCGTCGAGACGAAGCTGTAGAGACCACAAGCAAGGGCAACAGCTCACCGGATGATGCTGGCCACGGTGAAACGGAGCTTCGGTCGAGGTCGCCGGCCACGAGGAAGATGAACATGGACAACGAGCTCTCGGCGAAATCAATCGGTAGCAATAGCTCGGTCGGATGCGCAAGGAGCAGGCGGAACTAGGACACGGCTTTTCCGGGGCTATCTTGCGCTGGGAAGACGAGAGAAGCTCACCGAAGTTAAGACGGCGGTGTTGGGAAAACAGAGGGAAAGAAAGAAATGCCAACGACGATGTCTGGGTCTTATAGCTCGGCCAGGAGCGCGCGGAATCAACACGCAGCGTGCTCCCCGCGCCAGCGCGAAGCCAAGGGCGGTCGTAGACGTGCCTGGAAGACTGGAGAAAGGACGCCAGCAGTGGGGCGGTGGTCGTGCTACTGTTCCGAATAATTACAGATTTGCCACTGAGTTCATTTTGCAAATTACTCCCAAATTTTCTAAAGAAGATGAAAATCTCCAAAAATGAAAGTTGCTCAACTTTTCAAACTCTACAACTTTGCTTCAAGGAATATTTTCAAATTCTACCTCCATTTTAAAATTTGAATTTGGGGTGCATTTGAGTATTTGAATCATTTCAAAATTACTCCAAATTTTATATGTAAACTTGAAAAACTTTGAATACCAAAGTTGATCCTTATTAACTAAGCTTCAACTTTGCTTTTTGTCACAACCCCAAATTCCAAATGGATTTTAAAATAGACAAAAGGGGCAAATAGGACCTTTATAATTGGAATTTGAATTCAAATTTGATTTGTTTACCTTTTGACTTAACTTTGATTTTTGACCAGTAACATGGCCCATTAGGGTTATTTGAGTCAATTAACACATGGTCTCACATGATCACATGAATTTTGACTCTTGTGGTCATGATCTTTATTTAGGGTTTTGAATCACATCACATAAAATAACAACATTATGAAATAAAGCTTATTTAGTGAATGTCTTCAACATTTTCTACTTTATGAATGCTTTGCAATGCATATGATGACATGTCAAATTTTAATGATAGGTCAAAACACCAGAGGTGTTACAACCCTTCCCCCTTAAAGAAATCTCGTCCCGAGATTTAAAACTTAGGATTAAGTAATGGAAAAGGAAATGTGTCAAGCTAACACATCATAACTTTATTCAAAAGATTAGTGAGGGGGTTTTCCATTCTTTTAACAAAAGAGACAAGTTATAATATAGACAAGGTATTGCAACTAAAGAGAAGCAAAGAAGTTAGGAAAGTTTTCTTCTAAGTAATCCTCGGACTCCCAAGTAGCTTCTTCTTCAGTGTGCTGGTTCCATTGTACTTTGTAGAACTTGATTGTACGTCTTCGAGTGACTCGATTTTTCTGATCTAAGACTCTAATGGGGTACTCAGCATAAGTCAAATCAGGTTCTAGTTCTACATCACCAAAGTCGATCACTTGGTCAGGTACTTGAAGACACTTCTTCAACTGGGATACATGGAAAATATCATGCACAGCTGACATGTGATCTGGTAGCTTGACGCGATAGGCGACTGGTCCACATCGTTGTTGGATTTGAAATGGACCGACATAACGGGGCGCCAACTTTCCCCGAATGTCAAAACGATGAACTCCTTTCATTGGCGATACCTTGAGGTAGACATGATCTCCCACTATGAATTCTAGCGGTCGCCTCCTCTTATCAGCATAGCTTTTCTGTCGGGATTGAGCTACCTTCATATTAGCTTGTTTGAGTTTAACTTTCTCTTCTGCTTCCTTGACCACATCCGGTCCAAAGAACCAACGTTCTC